GCAAGTCAATACAGAGCCGAAGCAAGGGGGCCTCAGAACTAAGCTCATGTCTCTGATGGCTTTTGATATCGATGCCAAAATCATCCAATGCAGAAAAAAGAGAACAATGGCTGCTGGGACAGCTGTGAAGCCACACACACCAGGAAGGTCCTGGGTTCCCACCACAGGACCACCGTTAACTCAGGTTAGACAAAACACAGACGACAACAGGGCAAATCTTCAGGAGCCCCAGTTGCCATAGACTCTCAGGGTGACAGAAATGCAGAAAGAGCAGGAAGATGGCTCACTGCCAAGGCTCATAACCTGAGTTTAATCCCCAGAGCCTACATGGTGGAAACAGAGAACCAATTCCTGCAAGCTGCCCTCTGTCCTTCACAAGCATGCTGTGGCATTCATGTTCCTCCCACACCCAACAAAATAAACATAAACATAAATGTAAGTTTAAAAAGCTTAAAGAGATATTGTACTTAATAAAAAATTTAAAATTCTATTTATTATTTTTATTTTAACTAAAATTAAAAATATAAGCTTGAAAGCATGCCACCAAGAAAGTAAAAAGGCAAGTTTGAATGAAAAATATGTGTACATCACATCTCATGAATGACTTATATCTATAATATAATATGATATTCTATAACTTAATAAAGAATAACAAGCAAAGAATCTAAACGGACATTTGTACAAGAAGATACAAGAATGAAACACAAAGAAACTGAATGGCTTTACTCATCAGGGAATACAAATCTGTCTCACAAGGAGAAATCACCCGCACCTACTGGAGTGGCTGGAATATCAAGGTCTGATAATTAAAAATGTTGACAAGGATGACGCTCATCCAGTGTTGGTGGGATGGGACATGGGAAACAGTGGTTGCTCAAAACATGCAGAGTTCCCATTCCTGGGCATGTAAACAGAGATGAAATATGTATCCACACAAAAACATACACAGGGCTGGAGAGATGGTTCAGCAGTTAAGAGCACTGGGTACTCATCCAGAAGAGCTGGTTTCAGACTCTAGAACCCACATGGCAGCTCATAACCATCTGTAACCCAAGTTCCAGGGGATTGACACCTTCTTCTGGCCCTCCATGCATGTACATGTTGTGCATTACATACATGCAGATAAACACTGGCACATATAAAAAAAATCTTTCAAAAATTCTCCTATGTACAAATGTTCACAGCAGTATTATTCTCAATAGTAAGACAGACAGTAAGCTGGGAATGTAGCTCAGGTAGTGGAGTGTTCACTTGGCACACAGGAAGCACTGGGTTGGATTCCCAGCACCATACAGAAACAGGTGTGGTGGTGTACACCTGCAATCCCAGGAGTGGTGAGGTAAGAGCATCTGAAGGTCAATTATCCTTTGCTAAAGTACATCCTTAGCTTCAGATTGAGTTCCAGGCCAGTCTGGGCTATATGAAGTTTGAAGGGGGGAAAAGAGGACAGATGCTTCCAAATATCCACTAATGGATGAATGAACAAACAAAAGGTGGCATAGCCATACTCAGTTCATCAAAAGGAACGAGCTTCTAGAACATTCTACAATATGGAAACACATGCTAGGAAAGGGCCGCATGCTGTCTGATTCCATTTACTTGAACTCTGCAGAATGGGAAAATCTATAGGGTTAGGAAATAAATTAGTAGTTACCAAAAACTGGGACAGGGCGTGAGTTTGAAAGAACTCAAAGGAGACAGGCAGGTATAGGCTTTCCGTTCCAAGCATGCAAACACTCTTAGCATGACGGTGGTGATGGCTGCTCACATCTGTGAACCTACTAAGAACCTCTGCACAGTACATGAAGTTGAGATGTAGGGGAATTACCCTTTAGGCCCACCCAGCATCAAAGGAATCAATCAAATCAAAGGAGGACACACTGCCACCCCTCCCCCACCCCATGAGGCCTATGCCCTCTGGTTACCTTTGGTTACCTCCCCCATTATCTCCTGATGTCCAGCACCACAGTTAACGCTTGAGTACAACACTTACAAGCACATTCCTCACATTCAATTGCTTCCTTTCACTTTATACCTGTCTAGCTTAGGGCCATTGACTTTGTGATCTCTAAACTAAGATAGCTTGGTGGAGGCAAAAATGAGGAGAAACAGAAATGTGGAGAGCTAAATCCACAAACACCAGCACCTGATTGGAGCCATGCCACCAACCCCTGAGTAGTAATGGGTAACGTGCCAGTGTTTCTGAAAACAGAGGCTAGGCCTAGGTTATTGACTAGGTCACGGCCCTCCCTGGAACACTGGTGCCCCCCTAGGCTGTGACTGGTCTGCAAGGGCTCAGGTGCAGAAACAAGGCAAGGCCAAAATAAAGAGCCCAGGAAACAGCCAACCAGACTTCCTGAGTTGAAGCCACACCCCCTCCACTGCAGCACCATGTCAGCTCAGGTCTCCATGGAGTCTAGGGGAGCCTTGACTCTTTGGGAATGAGGCAGGTACACTTTCACCAGAGGAAGCAGAGTTGGGCTCAGAGCTACCTGGTGGCAATACTCTAGCTGACAAGTGCTGACACTGTGTGGGTGGGTGTCATTCTGGACTTCCTTCCAGGAGGAACTTTCCATTTAATGACTACACAAGTCCCATCAGACATGTGAGACATTCAGGACAGTTCTTTGTTTTCACTCTTTGGCTCTATTAAGAAACGAAGGTTAGAGGCTGGAGAGATGGCTCAGCGGTTAAGAACATTAGCTGGCTGCTCTTCCAGAAGGTCGGGGTTTGATTCCCAATACCCATATGGTCTTTCATAACCAGTTATAACTTCAGTTTCAGGTGATCTAGCATCCTCTTGTGGCCTCCGAGGGCACTGCACGTACTTGGTACACATACATGCATGAATGCAAATGCTCATATACATAAAATAAAACTAAATCATTGAAAAGAAAAAAGGAGTTTAAAAAACTCAGATCCTGTATACTAAAACGAGGGCTAAAAGTGCAAGTAAGATAACCACGGGCTACACCACAAGAAGAGAAGCAATTCGGGACATGAGGAAAGCAGCATGCTCCGTTCCTCCATGCCAGAGTTCCAATCAGCCCTTGTCTGTAAGAGTGGGAGAGGGTGAAGTGGGCACTATGGAGAGCTAGGAGAGAGTTAACGGTGGAGCTTGAAAAGAAAGTTTCTTAGGGTTACCATGAAGCCGTTTATGTAATAAGGGAATAATTAAAAGATGAATCGGAAGATTGACTGAAAGGAAAGAATTAGGTAATTAACAGTGCAAGTAATTGTAGATAGAGAAAAGAAAGTGCAGAGGTGGCATGGGAATGACAGGGCTTCGAGTGACTTCAAATCACAAGGCCCTGCATGGTGGGTATTATTAAGTGCCAGCTTTCTGGAATAATCTGTCAACCTGACTAGACAAGCTTACCAGAGCCATGCCCCGAGTGTCCTGGTAGGCCACCTTGATGATGTCTGGGGTGCTTGTGTTGAGGAAGAAGTAGCCAGAGCCTTCTGTGATGTGCAGTTCTACCTGGAGGGAGATGTGGGGATGGGAAAAGATCAGGCTGGGTAGCACGGAGTGCAGGGTGCCTTGTTCGATAGGGTGGTGGGGGCAAAGGGCCGTACCTGGACACCAGGATGGTTATAGATGGTCACTCCCTCCGGACTGACCCTCACGTCCTCTACGAGAACAAGCTCGATGGAGGCCAACACAGGCGCTATAGGGTCGTGCTGAAAAAGAGATCCAGAAGGTAAGGGCCTCATCAGCTACCTCCGAGAAGAGCAGGGCTAGATGCTCCAGGTAGCGGCCTCATTCCAGGAACAGAAGCTTCAAGCAGTGTCAGTACCCAGGGGAGGCCTGGGAGGTAAAGAGAGCCCTGAAGAGGTCAGAAGTGTATGTGAAGGTCTTAAAAGTGCATCTGTGGGGTGTGAGGCTCCAGTGTGAGAACCCAGTGAGGCACTCAGAAGCTAACAGGTGACTGGAACAGGTGAAGACATCTGGGGTAGGGATAGGGAGCATCTGCACCTCCTTCCAAATGGGGACAGCTTTCTCTAAGAGGACGCTTCCTCGTCTCAGCATCTGGGCTCCTTAGGGCGCAGGCCCCCAGCTATCTACTGTCTCCACACCATTTCAGTAACAGCTTTCAGGGTGGCCTAAGAGAATGGATATCATCCAAACAGGACCATTCTTGGGGGACCCTTCCAATTCCTCAAATGTACCCCTCATTACCACACACATACCCTGAAGCGGCATATCTGCCTGAAGCCTGCAAGAGATGCTGGGAAGAGAAGAATCAAGCAGGTATTGATCCCTAGTAAGGGAGGTCAGGGCCTCCGACACCAGACAGAATCTACACAGAAACAGGAGACATCCTGGTGTTGCCCATGGTCCTACCCACTCATGTCCCCTGGGACATACCGGCTGCTTCACTCTGGCTGCACTCAGGTGGGACTGCTGGTAGCCAGTCACTGTGGCAGAGATGGCTGTGGTTCCTGATGCCTCATGAACCGAAACTGCTTGCAAACCTGAGGGTGCAGAGGGGAAACAAATGCTGGTCACCACCCCTTGGTTCCCTTGGGGCCACATTCTGCTGCCAATTCAGTTTCAAGTTTAAAAGTAGGTAACTGAGTTTACTGAGGCTTTTAGTCCTGTAAGGGTTAACAGCCCAGAACAGAGTTGCTGAGGTAAGCTGAGAGGACAGGCTCAACACTGGGCTGCTGAGGAAGTTTGCCACTGTCACAGCATGGCCAAGGAACCTGGGACAGGAGCCCTTTCTGCTCTGGGTCCTATCTCATGTACCTAGACAGAAGTAAAGGAACACAGTGAAGCTGGTTGTACTGGTGCAGGCCTACAATCCCAGCACTCAAGAAAGGGATGGGGTGGGAGATGAGCTCTCTCGACATTCCATGCTTTAGCTCTAAATGAAGGGAAGCCCCAGACACCCAAGGTTCTAGGCATGAGCAGTGCAGGACCTTCCTGTGTGTCCAGGGTTCCACCGCCCTCTGGCTCAAGACCTGGCTCACCATGTAGCTTCTTGTGGCCTTTCCCATCATCCTGGGATACCAGCTGCATAGGCTGGTCAGGCTCGGTGCTCGCCAGCAATGGCCGGGAGGACTCCCACTGGATGCTAAGAGAGCTGAAGTTATCAAACCGCCGGCCTTGCTGGTCATAGGCACCCAGGTCTAACGGGATTTCGGTGACTGGATACTGGAACCTAAAAGAAACATAGATCAGATGCCGTGACCACACAGACTCTGCCACGGGTATGACATAAGCCAGTTGTTTCCCTTACAGGCTCAGATGGCCCTGATGAAGGGGTGGGGGTAAACTGCAATCCAATGCTAAGGAATGATATCACTAAGGTACCCAAAAGCCTTGTCCAAATGGCTCCTGCTTCTCCATGGGGGATAATGGCACAGAGAGTGTATAGCAAGGAGGCAGCCAAGAAGAGGAGGAGTATCTTCCCAAGCCTGATCAACTCTTGGTTCCAGCTCTTCCTGCCAGGAAGGTACAAAGACCTCCAACCTTAGTTTCTCCCATCAAGATAGGAAGCAAACCAATCTTTTGGGACTTTCTTTTAAAAAAGAAGTTTTTTAGATTTATTTATTTTATGTGTATGAGTTTATCTGCTTGTACATATGTACTCCTCATGCCTCAGAGGTCAGAAGAGGGCATCAGATTTCTTAGAACTGGAGTTCCGGATGGTTGTGAACCACGTGGGTGCTAGGAACTGAACCTAGCAAGTATAAGAGCAGCAAGTACTCTTAACCATTGAGTCATCTCTCCAGTCCTGGGACTTTCTTTCAAATATGCCTCCTGTGTGGTTAATTTGAGAGATAAATTCACATTGTAATTCACACTAACGTAGCAAAATGGGGTGGCTTTTAGCATAGATTACTATTTACCAATGACCTAATCCATTCAGGCATAGTCCAGAAGGAAGAACTGTCCTCTCTCACCTAAGGGCAACATTATTATTGAGTCTGGTGAGTGAGATATGACAGTGATTTGTGATAATTCTGGAGGAACCTCTAAGACCTAAGCACAGTCTCCTTCTCTGCACAGTGCCTCCTAGTGATGCACAAGCCGAGACTTAAGCAGCACATGGGCAGGAGCTAAACTTGCACTATGTATTCAAGATGTGGAGCTAAGGGGGTGGGGGCTGTTACTGTGACACAGAGAAGTCCATCCTGACCGATGTTGCCACCAAGCTCCCTGCCTCTACCTTCAGGATCCCTCTCCAACTTCTTGTAGCTCTCCTGGTTCTAGACAACGCCTGACCAAACATTCTGCATTTTAAATGTGTTCCCTCATGCCAGCAACTCAGCTCATCACTTGGGCACACCAAAGGTTTTAATAACTAGGCAGGACACAAGCTGTGAATGTGGACAGGAACCACAGAGGCCTGCCCCCAGACACGTCATCCCTTCTCCCAGATTCAACCTCTGGTAGAAAGTCAGTGCTTTTCTGCAGAAGACATCAGCTCTATGCAAGCATGCCTGCAGGCTGACTCCAACTTTTCCACCTCACAAGTTGGAAGGCTGTGGCTCAGAGATTGAGCTTGCTCAGTCTCCCAGGCTTAGGGTAGAGCACAGCAGGCCGGATTCTCCAAGGACTTTCTATGATATGGGTTTCTCCTTAGACACCAGCTTAACCCAATCCTGGACTAATTACTCGCCTGGAACACAAGTAACACCCATGCTTGGTGAGAGGAACACTGGCTGACCTGCCTGGAGAACCAAGTACACCTGCAGTCTGTTATTCCTGCTGGTTGACTCCACTCTGGTGGCTCACCTTGCCAATAATTTACTCTGCAAACACGTCCTAGGTGGCTTCTGGATTTGGAGAGCTATAAAATTAAATTGATACTGCACCCAGATGCACCTTGGGGATATATCTTCTTCAAGGTCCCCTAATGAGACCATAAATCGCAGGGGCCATGCCTGAATGGCCGGCTCATGGCTCGGGAACACTAGGACTGATGGATCACATGGCAGTTCTGTGTCCAAGGTCCATTACTTCTTGCTGACACCAACAACACACAGTTCATTCTAAGTCAAGCTCTGCAGTCACGGCATTACCTTTCAGTCCAGAGGCAGCTCACCCAATCTAGCTGCAGACAGACCAGGAACACCATGCTCAGCTCTTCATTAATGCTTAAAGACGGGGAAAACATATCTAGATCTGATTTGGTTTTGCCCTGCTGCAGCTCAGCAGCACACACTGTCAATCTGAAGGCCCCTGATCTCCAGGTAGCACCCACTCCCCATGCCTCTGTGGCCTTAGTGTCCCTCAGTCTGCACAAGGGTGCCTCCTAGAGGTATTCAGGGACAGTGCGCTCCTTGGTTTGCTCACTTGCCCAAGGTGTTTGCTGAGCTCTGGGCAGGAACCAAGCTCTGTTCTGATGACAGGCGAGACTAAAGTAGGCAAGCAAATTCTACAGTGATAGGTCACTGTGGGTACTTGGGAGTGGGAGAAGCGGGAGAGGGATCAGGTGTGCTGAGGCAGGTGCACTTTTAAGTGAAGTCAAAGACAAAGGAGAATCTGGATAGAGAAATGAGGGAGGCATGGGGCCAGGGATGAGAAAGCTGCAAGCCCCAGGACTCAGCCTAGCTAAGCCCCGAACACTGACAGAAGGTACAAGGAATAACAAGGCCTTCAACCATAAAAGGCACAGACTCAGAGATAAAAGCAGCCAGAGACTAGGAACCCAGGGTCCCACAGGCCATTGAAGGGACTTGGCTTTCTCACTGGGCTCAACAGAAAACAGAATAATTTATAATGGCTACTCTCTGGACTCTGCATCCAGTCATATAACCCCATTATTGGCCTCTATCACCATCAAGGGATGTTCCCTCGTGCTGGGTTCATGGTAGAACTTTTGCATTGACTCTGGTTCTTTACCTCTGGCAGGGGACCCAGCAGCAGGCAGATGTTTCCTGAAGATCCAAACTTAGTACAGTGTTGTTCCCTCTACCAAGGATAACTACACAAAACAGATGTGATTACTGGTAAAACTTGAAGACAAACCAGGCGCGTGCGGCGGGGGGTGGTGGTGGTGGTGATGTGGGCTCTCACATACATGTGATAGCTAAAACAGTAGAGCAAGCAGGAGTCACTGGAGACTGGGAAGAGAACAGGAGCAGGAAGAGGATGGGAAGCAGGCATTGAATACAGAGAGCAGTGAGCTCTGGGGTTCTGCAGCACAGAGAGGCAACTAAATGCCAAAATAACATATAAAGAACAACAAGAGAACAATCTGAAGCTTCCCAATACAATGGGACCATCAATGTTTGAGGGGAAGAACTCCCCATCCTGATTTGACAGCTCACATTACAAGCATGCATGGAATTAATCACAGTGTACCCCCATAAATGTGCAATAACACAGTGAACAAAAGCTAAAAAGGCTTGAGGCAGGAAACGAGTTCAGGATTTCTTCTCAAATGGTCTCCAAGTCAAGACAGAGAAAGAAGTCTTCTCCTGAGCACCCCACTCAGAAAAAGATAATCATTCACTCTGCAGTAGATACCGGGGCTGAGCCACCTGCAGATTCTGAGCCTGCAACACCCTGCACCTTGATGAGAGAGCAAGGTACAAGAGTCCCTGTGGGGTCGGAGAGCGTATAGAAGCGGTACATCTTACTCTAAACCACCATTTCCGGCCCAGGTAAAGCAAGTGGAGGAGATACGTGCAGGTTTGTGGTGTGTTCATTCTTAGATCCAGTGACGAGCAAGGGCCAGAAGGCAGAATCACAGATCCACACCAGAGCAGCAAGGGAAACAGCCTTGCTTGACTCCAACAGGAAAGATGGAGGCTGGTCCTCAAGTCCCAGGCATTACAGTTGTGCAGCTCCCTTAACGAAGCTTTGAACAGAAGAGTGTGGACCACAGGCAAAATTGTCCTTCACCTGCCAGGGACCCAGTTCTCACAGCACCCGCCCCACAGCTGGATAGGCTGTGGACACCTTCATCATCATTAGGTTCACTCAGGTGTGCAGGAGGGCCGGGCACCCAGAGGTGAGCAGTATCTGCTCTGAGATGGCTTCGGGGAGGAAACACAGAGCCCAGGGGTCACAGGAGGAACTGTTATGTTTGGAGATGGATAAAGTTGGTTCTGCATTTTCAACTCTGCCCACCTCAAAGATGGCCATGGTGTTGGGGGAAATGAGGATAAAAGGTAATGGTTACAAGCACACAGAACTATTCTGGCCACCACATGGATAGGTGGGATACTAGAGACCATGACCCAACCTCAGAGTCTTTGCTCTTGCTGTCTTACCTCCCTGGGGCCTTTCCTATTGCTCTACTAGGCTGGCATCTCATTATCCTGTTCTCCCTGCAACCACCTCTGTGACCCTCCTGCCTCCCTGGCATCAATGGCTCCTCCCAGCTATACTCTCTGTGGCATTTCTACAGTGGCCTGTCTCCCAGTGGCTCCTCATCCTCCTCAACACTCTCTTATTCCAGAGTCTGGTGCCAGGAGAACCTGCTAGACAAGGATGTGCTGGAGGGATGAGGAAACTAGGACTTCTTTCCTCCAAAGAGGGTCGAAGTTAGCTTATCCCTAGTCCCTGAGCAGGATGCACTCAGGGCCCTGGGCTATGATGTTCCAGAGCTGTGGGAAAGTCAACCAGTAGGTTTTACCCCCACAGCTGCTGTTTGAAGGCCCATGCACTTTCTTCCCCTCTCAACGCTTTACTTTGGAATGTCCTAACCCATGACAATACAATTCTGTAGATGCCCCCTCTCCTCACAGCTCCCAATCCCACTCTGAACACACACTCTGTACACAGAGAACACCCCACCTGAATAACTGAAACCATAGAACACTTCACAAAAGGATTCTACAGCTCCTTATATGCCCAGCAGAGGGCGACAGTAAATCTGGATTCAGAAAGTTGGGTAGGGAGGGGTTGCATCCTATCTGGCCACTGCAGAAGCTCCCAGACTTAGGGTGAGGTCACACCCCAATGAGCCCATCATGAGTTAACCATTTCATAGCCAGCCTATTGTGCCACTCTACTTAACTGACATCAGTCAACAGTTGGGTACATGGCCCAACACAAAGACTACACTCTAACACGGGATGGGGTGCTCCATGAGCTATATATGGACTCCAGGGCTCCACAGAGCATCAGCCCCCACTCTGCGTGGTAGTGAACCCAACTGTGTGATGTGACTGATTTACTCTGCACAGCATTAAGGGGAAATGGGTTACTTATTACTAGACTAGGAAAAGATCAAAACTCCAAGTATAACAAGTGCTTGTCATCTTCCCACCCCTATAAACTGGAAAATCAGAAGTTAAGTCTCTATAAGTAGGGGACCAACTATGCAGCTGGACTTTGGGAAGTTTCCCAGCTCTGTAGGCTCTGGATTCCCCCATGCAAAGAACAAATGGAAACACCTTGCACAGCTCTGGCTGTTGAGATCCGGGTGCCTCTGTGTGGAGCCCCAGCTATCAGAATTCTCAAGCCCATGGGTGAAGTGGGTCAAATTCCTCTTGCCCACGTTTCCTCCCGCCCCAGGAGGGGCCATACTCACCACCTGCTTGTTCTGTTGCAGCAGTGGACAGGACAGGTCCAGTTGCGGAAGGGCATAGACGGGCATGAGGGTGAGCCTGGAAGGTGGGGCACAGACGGACTTCACCACAGTGGGTTCCACGGCAGGGAAGGGGTTATAGAGGCTGGGCCGGTTCCCCACGGACAGGGCGATGACCTAGAGGAGCAGGAGAAACAGCAGGCACCTGAGCACAGTCCCTTCCTCTCTGAGCGGAGACTTAACTTCTATACAATGTGCAATGATACCTATGCCCCAAGTATGGTCTACAAACATCTCAGAGAAGAGGCAGGTTAAGGGATACCTTGTGGTTCCCCAGGACACAAGGAAAGCCTCAGAGATGAATCTGCAAATCCACGAGGTCCTAGATATTTCAAAAAAAGAGTGCATTGACTTCAACCCATAACATTGAGGCACAGATATGGGAATCTGCACACTGAAGGGTAAGGAACCTTAATTGTGGAGGAACGGGTCAGAGAAGAGGCTGTGCAGGACAGCACCAGTGGAGAGGCCACAGGCAGAACCATCCCACTCCATGCCTGTTTGCTCCTCCGAGTCAGAGAAAAGAGGCCACACTCACTACCTACATGGACAGGATGGGGAGTAACTGTCAGATGAACAGAAAAGCCTTTTTTGTTGCTAGAGTGGGGTCTCTGAAGTCAAGTTCAGCCCCTGGTTTTACATGCAACACAGTTAACAGCTGTGCCTGAGGAAACATCCCCAGCCTCCTCAGAGACAGACAACTGCTGAGGACACAAAAGTCTGCTCCAGCACACCTTATCTTCCCTGACCATAAGGTGGGAGGAGGGAGGGGCCTCCTGACTTTCAGGCTGTCTGCCCATGAAACAAGTGAGGGTGCCTAGAGATCCGGAAGTGTGGAAGGCTTAGATCAGGCCTTGCTGAGAGCCCAACTTCTACAGGTCAAGGCAGGAAGCCCAACGACCTAGCTAAGCCATGATTCACTGCTATCCTTAGTCTTACTACTTATTTAGTAGTATGGATGTCTTGTTCTCAATATGTCCTATATTACTAGCACCTCTAGTGGGGCCTTTCTCAAAATGCACTCCTTTGACCATGGCAGCCAGCTTTGGACTAGGGAAGCCAGACACACCTGTCAGGGTGTGAATGTGCATCTTCAGCTGAATCTGTACTACACACTTGTTGGTGTGTGAGTGCATCATCTTCAGCTGACTCTGTACTACACACCTGTCAGGGTGTTCAAGTGCATCATCTTCAGCTGAATCCATATTCTTTTTACTTGTAGACAGGCAGGAATGACTCTCACTTTTTAGTTCACGGTTCTGCCTACTTCTGTTCCTGTCTGAGGGCTCCCAGAAACACATCTGTCAAAAGCCAGAGGAGCACAAGGCCTTGGTCTGGCCTGGAAAAGGGTGCTGCCCCAGCCAAGCAGGTCCCAGAGTAACTAAGGATATGGCACACTTGGCTCACTCAGCTTAACCTTCCAATATTTTTTGGTTCTCAGAACGAAAAACAAAGCTGAAAACAAACCTTTAACAACATCATAGTTGAGCATAATAACTTATGCCTATAATTCCACCACTTGGAAGGTTGAAGCAAGATGAGTTCAAGGTCAGCCTGTGCTACATAACTATAGAGTGAATTTCATTCAAGCTAGCCTTGGCTGCATAGGGAGAACCTATCTCAAAACAAGAAGTTCACACACATAGGCAATGCCACATCCACCCCATCCAGAAAGAACAAGTTGGAAAGAACCCAGGTCAAGGGTCTTAATCCTTTTGACAGTGCCCTAACCTTAAAACATGGGGCTTTATGATTCCTGATTTCAAACCTCTACTCCTACTTATAGCCCCAAGAAAGAGGAGGCCACCTACAGGCTGGCTTTAAGAAAGCTGGTATGTGCTGTGGAATCTAATAGGTCACTTTGGACTGTCTTGTCTGTAAAATGGATACAACAGAAACAACACTCTCAGGGCTCTCTGAGAACTGAGTAGATTTTCTAGTTCCCCGTAGGCAAGATAGGACTGAGGGCAGCTGTTTACTTACCTGTTCACCCAAGGCCTGGCAGGTCACAAGGACCCAGTGCTGCTGGTAATTTCGGGAGGCTGGAGTACCCAAGAGAGCCAGGCTGATGCTGCCTGTGTCTTCAGAAGTAACATTCCGAAAGAATTTGGAAGGTTCCAGTACCCATGGCCTGGGGCCTCCTTCAAACAGCATCTCCTTGGAGGAGCCCAGGGTTACCACAGCAACAGAAGAGGGATCCACAGCCTGGAGGAAGAAGGGGAGGCTTAGTATTGTTTTGGGAGGTGGTGACCAGACAATGCTGAGCATCCAGAAGGCAGGTCTTCACCCTTCTTGGGTGGGCATGCCAGGCAAACCCTGTAACCTCTTTGTAATTTAGTCTCCATGTGGGCAGTATGCACTGGGTTGCCATGAACTAGGAATTTTGGAAAGAACTGGGTCCTCACTGGAGTAGGGAGAACACTGGAATGCCTACCATGATGGTACATAGTTTAAATCCAGCATTCAGGAGGCAGAGGAAGAGGCAAGTGGGTTTCTATGAGTTCAAGGCCAGACTGGTCATGAGTCAGCAAGGGTTACATAAAGAGACCTTGTCAAAATAAAAGGTAAAGTCCAAGAAATTCTTACCTGGGATCTATCCTAACACAGACTAAATGGGAGAGAAACAACTTCAAGAACAAATCATGTTCTTAATGATCTTTTCTCACAGCTAAGAGCCGGAAATACACTGATATCCACAGAGAGGGTGCTTGGAAGCCAGGATGGCACCTTGCATAGGTCCTAACCCAGTAATGACCAAATATTGAATGCAGGGCATAATACTGAACACATACGTTCACCTCTACCACACTGCTATCATTATATTCTATGAGTATTTTACCTGCATTTATGTCTATGTACTACATGTGTTTACAGAGGACAAGGAGGGCTCTGATGCCCTAGGACTGTACTTACAGGTAGTTGTGAGCCACCATGTGGATGCTGGGAATTGAACCTGGGTCTTCTGCAGGAACAGAGAATCCATAGCTTTAACCACTGAGACAATTCTCCAGTTCCTGCTTTAACCATGGAACCTTCTCTTCAGCTTCCCTCTACTCCCACCCCATACTGTGCTTTAAAAAACAGAAACCGGCTGGAGAGATGGCTCAGTGGTTAAGAGCACTGACTGCTCTTCCAGAGGTCCTGAGTTCAATTCCCAGCAACCACATGGTGGCTCACAATCACTTGTAAAGAGATCTGGCACCCTCTTCTGGCATGCTGACATACATGGAGGCAGAATGTTGTATACGTAATAAATAAATAAATCTTTAAAAAAAAAACAAAACAGAAACCAGCCAGTGTGGAGGCATAGGGCTGTAATCACCGCTATTAAGAAGTAGAGGTAGGAAAGAGGATTTTGAATTTGAGTCCAGCCTGGGCTTTATAGCAAAAGCAGTCCAAAATAAAACTAAAAAGGTCTGAGGATGTGGTTGAGTGCTTGCCCGGCATGTTCTTCAGTGAGGAACCTGGTGAAGTGTGGGGCAGAAGATAGTGCTCACGGGAAGCACAGCTGCAGACAGGCTCCTGGCCAGCTCAGTCAGGGCCGGCTTGCTGCCCTTCATGCTCCATGGAGCTCTCCCCACTTTCCTTTTGTTTTCCTGTTTATTTGGGCTGTTTTATTTTCTTTGTTTGAAATGGGTCTCATTACCGAGACCAGGTCCAGGCTACCTGGAACTCACGATCCTCCTGCTTTAGGCACCTGAGAGCTGGGCTTACAGGTGGGCATCACCACACTTGCTTTATGGTTTTACCTCTCTCATCAGTGTATAGAGGCACCCAGGGCCAGTTCCTGGGTCTGTTTTGTATTTGGCAAAGAACAGTGCCTAGCACACACTTAAGGTTCTCAACATTCACTGAAGTAAATGGTGAATTGGCCAGTAAAACCATGAGGTCCTCAAAGTCTCCAGTAAGCAAAGGAAAAACTCACATAGCTTTGGACAGAAAGCCCGCTACTGTTCTTATGGAACAGGGTGGCTGTGGAGCTAAGGAACTCACAGCCTCCCACAGGCACAAATGATAGATAGCAGTTGGGATCTGTTCTGATTTGCCTTCTATTACTGTAGTAAACGCCATGACCAAAAGCAACTTGGGAGGAAAGGGTTTATTTGGCTTACTCATCCCAATCAGTCCATCATGAAGAAGTAAGAATAGGAACTCAAGGCAAGAACCTGGAATCAAGAACTGAAGCAGAGACCTTGAAAGAACTTTTTTTTTGGTTTGTTTACCCTGCTTTTTATACAACCCAGGACTACCCACATCAATAATATACAAGAAAATACTCCACTGACTTTCTGATGGGAGCATTTTTCTCACTTGAGTTTCCTTCTTCCCACATGACCCTAGCTAGCTGCCAAGTTGGCAACAAAACAAAACAAAACCAGTGCGGGATCTAAGGAGAGCGGCCATGCTCACCTAACCTCCAGAACATTTAAGAAAAAGTGGAGGACAGGGCAGATGACAAAGGACAAGCACAGCTCACCTTGAGGGGCAGGTAGGCGGCGAGAGTGATCTTCGCACCCAAGTGTACGTGACCATGTGTGTAGCTCACAAGGAGGGTAGTAGATCCCTGGGCATCAGCTCTCACCTTCACCCCACTGCAGTGCTCAGGCCCCGGCGGCAGTCTCCCTGCACAAAGAAAACCAAAAGTAAACACGAACTTGTTCTTCAAGGGGAAGGCACGGCAGGCCCATGGCCCCTTTCCATTCTGGACTTCATATACAATTTGATTTGGTTATAATTTAAATTTTCTAGAGGGTAGGAGCTTTAGCTCAGTGGTAACACAGTTACCTAGCACAAAAAATGCTCTAGATTTCATTACCAGCACCCCAAAGCACAAACAAACAAAAGCAAATTCAAGTACAATCCATGTATATTACATACAGGTCTGGTATACATACATCTGGCAATGATTTCCCATCTTCCCCTACATGCTCAACATACCCTGTGTCCAGGATCCATGTCAAGAGAGAGCTTACCAGCAGCTTAGCCTCCCCTAGAGGCCTCTTCTGGTCTCCAATCCCTCCCAACTTTCATCAGAACAGCCTCTCTGTGCTGTGTCTATGTCTTAAATAAAGTAGAGCAGCATCGCAGGCAGATGCTGGTCTGCCTTCCTCTGCGGAGTTCTCAGTCTTCACAGTCAAATGTGAGCCTTTACTCACATTTCTGTACACCGTTTACTCACATTTCTGTACACCGTTCTATTGTGGGATGAGGAAGCACAGCAAGACTTCCTCACGCCACCGTGAACACTCCAGGCAGTTCTAGTTTGGGTTGTGCTACACAGTACCAAAGTGGACATATACGGGTCTATCTCTAGACGGCATACCCCAGCATTTCTGCTAGCTGTGTCCAGAGGAGGTGGACCAGTGGCAGGCATGCACGTGTGCAGTTAAGTGTCTCTCCCAATTTACCTCGCTGGCAGCTGCTTTTCATCTGTGCTATCACTATCCATCAAATTTTAATTAAGTTTGTAAGAATCGTATTGATGTTAGGCTGGTTAGTTTTTGTCAATATGACACAAATGAGTAACTCTGGGAAGAGGAACATTCAGTGAAGGAACTGCCCCCATCAGGCTGACTGTGGACAAGCTGAGCAAGTCCGGGGGGCATCTTCTCGATTAATTATGGATGTGGGAGGGCACAGGCCACTGTGAGTGGTACCATCCCTGGGCAAGTGGTCCTAGGCTGTATAAGAAAGCAGGCTGAGCAAGTTCAAGCTGTGTTCCTCCACAGCCTCTGCTTCAGTTCCTGCTTCCAGGTTCCTCCTTGGGATTCCCTGAAGAATGGACTGTAACCTGTGAGCCAAAGAAACCTTTTCCTTCCCCAAGATGTTTTTGGCAATGGTATTTACCACAGTCACAGAAACCAAACTAAAACAAATTTGAATTATGATGAAGTACACAACTATGAACTCCTCACCTTATACAAAAGGGGGTGGGGACGACCAGTCATGGTGCTGCAGACCCTTAGTCTCCACACTCTGGAGGTAGAGGCAGCAGGCAGATCTCTATGAGTTCAAGGTTTGCCTGCTCTACATAGCGACTTCTAGGCTGGTCAGTGATTAATAGTGAGACCTAGTCTCAAGAGAAAAAAAATCCCACCTCAATGTTCTTATATATAGCCACTTGCTACTTGCCACAGAATTGTGCAGGTCCCATCACCAGTGCCACCCAGACCCTTTGACTTGCAAAGCTGAAATGTCTAGCACTAACTGCTCTACCCTGGCATCCACCATTATCTGTTTCTTGTCACGTAAGTGGAATCACAAAGCATTTATCTTTCTGTGACTGGCTTCACTCACTTGGCAAAATGTCCTCAAGGCTTCTCAGGGCTGGGTCACATCAGAGCTTCCTTCCTTCTTAGGACGGAACCTGCCCTGAGCCCAGTCCTCTACTGATGGCACCTGATGCCCGCATGAGTGAATAATGCCGCTCTGGGTTGACACAGATGTCTTTGCATTTGTACTTTCAAAAACCTTAGGTCTATGTCTAGAAATAGAACTTCCTGGATCTTACAGTAATTCCACTTAAACTTCTGAGAATCCACCACAATGTTTTCCACAGTAGCTGCCTTTTAACATCTTCCCAAAGAGCACGGATTCCAGTTTCCTCACAACTTGATGTTTTCTGTTGCTGTAACAGTAGCTGCCTCAATGGGAGAAGTTTTCTTTATGTTTCTTCTTTGAGATTTATTTTACTTTTCATTATGTACGTGTAATGCACATACGTGCATGCAATACCCATGAAGGCCAGTAGAGGACTCTGGATCCCTGGAACTGGAGTTAGGCAGTTATAAGGTACCTAATGTGGGTACTAGGAAACAAACGTAGGTCCTCTGGAAGAGCAACATGTGCTCTTAACCACTGAGCCATCTCTACAGCCCTGTCCTTGTGGTTTTGCTTTGAATTTCTGTGATGACTGATGAGGGTGGGCATCTTTTCCTACAATAGTGATTACTACATGTAACATTCACAGAAATGCATGCTCAAGTTCTTTGTGTGCTATTAAATCAGTTATCTGTTTTATTGTTGACACACAGAAGTTCTTTCCATAGAAAGATCTTAACCTCTTACCAGAAATATGATCTGCAAATACTTGCCCCACTCCATATTGCTTGTGCCCAACAGGGAACCTGATACAGTCCCTTTCTCAGACAGTCCTGTGGCATGTACCCTGGCTTGTAGGGGTAGACACGAGGAACCTATCCTGAGGACCACATGTGCCCCACGGGTCATGTGTGCTCTAGGGTGGCCCTCACACATACGGTTCCATGAGCACCCTGTGCCCTGACCCAGAGTTCAAGTTTCCTAGGTAAGATCTACACCCTCTACTCTGAGGGAGAGTCCAGCACTTTCTGAGGGAAATTCTGACCACAGAGGATTTGTTTTGGCTGCTACCTATTGAATCAAGACTCCTTGAGAAATCCTCATGATGTCCGGAGGGAACATCTTGTAACTCTCATACCTGTTTTCCCGTGACCTGTGGAGACACTGAGACTCAGAGAAGTTGAACAGAATGCCATTAAGTGAAGGGGCTTATCAGCCCTGGAACTACTGAATTACAGGCACCGGAGTCTCCCTGTGTCCTAGGCCCAGAAGCCTGAGTGGCATCCTACTGACACCCTGTGGGATGGGCATGAGGGTAGTGCAGGGGACACTCCATCTCTGGCCGCCAGCAGTTTCTCTCCCTCATAATGCCACCTTTTCCATTCAAAATAGCTAACATGTGGAAACATTAGATTTTCTAAGGCCACCAGCCTGTGACTTTGCTTGGGCACTTTTCAGAGATGTCCTCTTCCCCTGTGCAGTTCTAGATGTCATTACAACTACAGGGGACACATAGTCACCTGGAGAGCATCTGTGCCATTTGAGACTTACATCCCTTTCTGCTCAAATACCTTCAGTAGGCACAAGCCCCCTGTGATGGAATAGGCCCTGATGTTCTAGGCTCACCATGTGTTAAGTCCTGCCAGAACTCCCACCTTTGGGGCATGGCACGGGCACATTCATTCACCAAATGCTGTCCTGGTTCTCGCCAACACCCTGCCCATAGCCTGCTTCTACTCATAACCCAAGTATCCCACAGATTTCCTAACCTATAAATCAGAGCTAATCCTCACCTTGCCTGGATTCATGCCTCTGGAAAGCCACAGCTCACAGAAACTGGAGCTGCAGGTCTGTGTCCCGTCCCTGCGTGACTACTGGAGCAACCAAACTGCCCCATGCCTTCACTGGACACATGGCCCACCAGCAGCTCCTGTTACAGGTACACAGCCTCAATGAGGCCAGCCAGGTAAACCGCTTGCCCCACAGATGCAGGGCTGACACTGTCAGCCACCACCAATACTACCCCCAAGACAAGAGGCTGAGAAGAATGTACCCAGGGTGGCCTGGGCCTGTCACAGGCATGACGACTGAACTAATCCAAACCCTAAGTACACATCATAGCATGGGCACCTGTTCCACTTCATGAACTGAAATAGGAACACGGACAGGAACCTCCTTTCAGACATCAAAGAGATACAGAGCATACAAGCTTGTCAAGGGTAACACATCAGGCAGGATTCAGAATGGACAGGAGCAGGAGCGAGAGCCATCTCTTAGGTTGTGGCCCTCTGGTGCCCATAGAGAACCCACACCGTCTTGGCTCCCGCTCTGCTACTGGCTTACCTGGCAATGGCTGGAACACAGCCTGGTTCTCCACTTCTACCACCAGGTCAAAGTGGGAGCAGTCGCTTAAGGTAACCACCTCACTGGCCCCTCCAGGCATGAAACCACTGATTGTCAGGGGCAGCTCCAGGGTGTGGCCCACTCGAGCCTCCACCTGGCACGGGGCGAACTCCATGCTGCTGGGCTCAATCACATACACCTAGAGAAAGAGAAGAGCCCAGGCCCATCAGAAGGAAGACTAGTGGGGCTGCTGGTGTTTTCTACGAGGACAAGGTGAAGGGCTGGGCCAATGTCTGGAAAGGATGGGGGTGGCGGCAAGGATTCGCTCCCAGCCCCTTCCTCCCCAGGCCTCTCCTCCCAGTAAGGAAGGCTATCCCAGTCTCCCTCTCCTGACTGGCAACAAAGCCTGAGGTGGGACCTGAGTGGCTGGAGCACAGCTAGTGGGAACCACCCATCATGTTCTGAGTAGCCATGCGGTCAGTTCTATGGGGCCTGACTGCTTGAGATCAGGGCTGGGATGGGTCCATCAATCCCACACACACCTACAACTATAGGCAGAGGAATAATAGCTCCGAAGGAGGCCTGAGGGGCGACTGGAGCCTCTACCTTGAACCTCTCTACCTGATGTCCCGTCATCATCTTACCTTCATCTCACCGAAATGGAGAGGGTTCTGAACATCATGAGCCTGGATGACACTGAGTCGTGGTCATGACGCCCTTGACAGTGACTGTGGCAACCGTGTAGCTTGACGAAGACCAGCTGAAGTTCCCACTGCCCCCTTGGGCCTAGGGAGGAAAATGACATGGGATCCATCCATCAGCCCCTTGTCCTTCCCTGCCTGGGAAAATACAGGGTGGGGGCAAGTATGCACTCTTGTTCATTATCACACAAACATGCTCATTTATTCATACTCAGATTGAACTGTGAGCATGCACACACACAAACACACACACACACACCTGCTCACAAATGCCTACTGCCATACATTCACACACCTGTTCACACTCACCATTCACACGTCTCCTTACACTCAGTCACATCTGATACCTACATTCACACTCACTTATGTTGACACCATAAATAAACACCACATGCACATATGCACACACACTCATGAGCTCAGTCTCAAACACACACATAGCATACCAAGTACACACATGTTCACACATTCAAAAAAA